GCATGGGCAGCCCCAGCAGTGCCCAGATGGACCTGGTAGGTCTGGGATTCTGACTTGAGGGGCCGGTGGAGGGCGCTGAGGGAGGAGCCAGTCCGGCCTCTCTCCTGGCCCTTCCCGCCCTGGCTGGCCCAGCCGGACTCGGCCGTGGCTGTTGCCCTGTGCCGAGGTGGCCTCTCCTCCTGGCGTGAGTGCTGTGGCTGGGCTGATCCTGGAGGTGTCTGGGGGTGCGTGCACGTGTGGCTGCCAGGATTGTGGGGAATCTCTTGATTAGAGGACAGAAAACCTAATCCCGTGGCCCAGGCGGGGGTGGGGGGGTACTTCCTCCCTGGAGAGGCCCTAGAGATTATGGGATTTCTACCCGCCCCGCCCTGGGGAGGTGGCATGGGCAGAGGGCCATCTGGCTGGTGGGGCTGCCTTGTCACTGCTCTGGTGAGGGGTTCCTTCTATGAGCCTGGGAAGCCACGTGTGGGCTGGGTGGCCCTGGCCTGCTACGGGGGGAGGACTCACGTGCCTGGTTCGGGTCCCGGCTCAGCCCTTTGCAGCTGTGTGACCTGGGGCAGCATCTCATTCTCTGAGCCTGGACTTTGTCATCTGTGGAGTGGGGTGATGACACTTACTTCTAGGGTGGTCGTGAGGGTGAACTTAAGGAGGGTCGGAACTTTAGTTCTCGCCGGGGAGCAGGTGGCTGGGGGCCTCCCTGACCCTCAGTGTCGCATCTGCAGGCTGGGGAGAGGCGTTTCTTGCTCTGGTGCTGGGGGGCCTGTGAAGGGCTGCCCCTCAGTGCTCTGCGGCCCCCAGTGATGGGCTGGGCCATGGGGGGAGATGCGGGAGTTCTCCCCTGGGAGGAAGTGTTTCCCTGGGAGGGGCGGTTTCAGGGACCGCTGGTTCCAGAACCTTCTGGGGCCCAGGGATCTCCCAGGGCCAGGAAGCGAGAGCCGTTGCCAGGTGCAGCCTTGACGCGGACTTGGGGGGTTAAGTGTCCAGTCCCCACTGGCCTTTCCCTGCTTAATGTCCTGGGCAGGGAAGTGTGTTCAGGTGGGTGGCTCTCTGGTGGGCGGGCTCGGGGGACCAGTGCCCCAGCCCCAGAGAGCACGGCCCCAAGCCATGGAATGGTGTGATTCCGGGTTTGCTTCTTCCTTCAAGCAAAGAAGATCTTTCGAAACTGTGGGAAAGAGCGTTTCCTCCCCAAAGCTGGGTGCGGGCGGGGGCTCGGTCAGCAGATGTGACGTCCCCGGCTCCCTCTTGCCCTTCTGCCCTCCTGCCTGCAACACTCACGGGCCCATTGCCGGCCCTCGTGGCCCCACCAGAGTGGGGTGCTCAGGCCTGTCAGCTCTCCCCGAAGACCTGGCAGTCTTCTCCCTCTGGGGCCCCACTGGCGGAGCAGAGCCCCGAGAGGCCCCTGCTGGGCCGCGCCGTCTGTGTCCCCACCTCTGAGCCTTCGCGCGTGCTGTTCCCTCTGCCTGGCGGGCCCGCCCTGCCCCTGCTCCGATTCTTTGTCCCAGCAGCCTGCTTCCAGTGCCACCCCACCTTGAAACAGTCCCCAGGCCTGCGCCCGACGTCCCTGCCTTCTGAGGGTCCCTGCTCCGTGCCCCAGGAGGGGATCTGGCCAAGCGTGGACGAGTCCACCCTGTCCTGCCCCAGGCCTCTGTGTCCCCGGCCCCAAGTGGGTCCCTTCCGGTGCTGACAAGTGAGGATGCTGTGGCTTACGTCCCGGCGAGGGGGTGCTGGGGCCGGGAGGGCCCGGGAGCTGGCCGTCTGAGCTCCGGTCTGGCCCGGGGGTGGGGGGAGCTGGGCGCCAGCGTGCTCAGCTGCCTGCCTGCGCTGCTGGAAGGGGGTGTGATTTGGGTCTCCCCCACCCCCGCCCCGGGCTTCTGACTCAGCACCTGCAGGGCGGGGGAGACCGGATCTCTCGACAGAAACCCCGACCCGGGGCACCCATGGCCCAGATTTCTTTTGTGAAGGTGGGAAGTCGAGCCCTAGGTTCCTGCCCGGCTTCCCGGCAGGAGATTGGGTTGGGGCTGGAGCCAGCTCTGGGCTCCGGGGCCCACTGCTCCCGTGGCTCCTGGCCTACCTCCCTGCCCTGCTGGACTGCCCTTTCCCCTGTGCACCACCCTCTGTGACTCCCCAGTGCCCGCGGGATGAAGTTCTCACTGCCGCCTAGCCCTGCTCTCCCTGCGCCCCTTTGTCCTCAGGAGCTACGCCTGCTCCCTCCTCTGGGTCCTGCCCATGCTGCCCCTTCACCTTCCAGCTTCCTGCTCTGCCAGGTGTCTGCATATATTAGGCCTCCTCCTGGACGCTCCCCTGGGGTTAGGTCCTCTCCACCCCACAGCCACAGTGCCCGCTGTCCCGTCGCCCTGCAGGGGGTGATGGATGTGGGCTTAGAGCCCTCGTCAGCGTCAGCGCTGGCCCCGTGGTCAGACAGTGGATGTGGCGTTGGGGCGAGCGGGGGATCGATGCCAGCCACGGAGGGTGGGCCTGCCTCCTGGGGCTCTGGGCCGTGTGGAGAGTTGGGGTCTGGCATTCACGGGGCCTGTTGCTTAGGCCGCTTGAACAGGAGGGCTCTCCGCCTCGGTAGAGCATTTGGTGGTTCCTCTTTGCCTGGAAGATGGAAGTGGATGCGCCCCAGCGGGTGGGCGCCCAGTCTTGACAGGGCCTTGGGCAGAGGCCTCGGTCTCCTTACCTGTCAGGTGGGGATAACTACTCCCGCTGGGGTCCCAGAGCTGATGTTTGCACAACCTGAGGTTCTGCCCAAGCAATGGGGCTGCTGGGAAGGATGTTGAAAGTTTGGGCCAAATCTGGAGATGGGATTTTCGTGTCCCCTGGGCCGTCAGCGGTGGGGGCACCTGGTAGGCTCAGGGCCCTTCCAGCCATGCCCCGGGGCCAGAATGGAGCTGGCCAGCCAGGGGGGTTGGTTCTTGGGGGTCGAGAAGCCATTGTCCCTGCCTCAGTGGCCTCCCGCAGGCAGCGGCCAGGGCCATGGGCTTGGGTCTGGTGGGGATGCATCTCTGTTGCTCTGATGTGCCAGCGTCTGAAAACAGCTCTGGTGTTTGACCCCTTAAGGTATTTGTGCTTGACCCCTTAAGGTATTTGTGAAACATCAGCTAGGAAAGGCTCTCCCCCCGCAGCGGGGAGGGCGGGCGAGGCGGGAGAGAACAATTGGAGCTGAAATTAATTGTGCTGTGTGCTTTTCCTCCTGTCCCCTCTCTCTGCTCGCTCGCTGTCAATGCATAATGCATGATGAGGGGAAGTGAAAAGTAATTAGAGACTCGACTCTCGGCCAGGTTCATTCATGACTAAATCTGGGTCAACTCCTGGCACAGATGAGCGCACCGCGTGGTGCGTTGGTGGCAGTGGTGCCGCACCTGCTTGGTGGGCTGTGCTCAGACGCCCCTTCCTATGGGAAGCCCTCCTGATGCCCCCCTTAGGAGGGCCTCCCCCACACCCACGACCCCGTGCCTTGTGCGTCTGATGGTGTCTTTTCCCCACCTGCCCTGTAAGGACCGTGTTGCCAGTAGGGGGCGGCGGCTTGTCGGGGTGGGGCACGTGGGGGTGACACCCAGAGTGATGTGATGGCGTCGGGCCACACAGCGTCTCCTTGAGGTGCTTTTTTGCTCACTCGTTCTGAAGCACTTGACCCTGATCACGCTGTGGTCTTTATGCCCCTCCCACGCTGCCGTGGTCCTCAGGGTGAAGTCCCAGCCCCGGGCCTGTCTCTCATTTCTTCCCCCCGGGGGACCAGCTGTACCGATCTGCTTCCTGTTGCTAGAATGTTCCCAGCCCTTCCCCTGCTCACAGCCTTTGCACATGCTGTTCCTGCCTCGGAGTGCCCTTCCCCGGGTCGCCCTGCAGCCACCGTTGCTCCTTCCGGTCTCGCGTGGGTGTCGCCCCCGTGGACCCCCGGGCTGCCGTGGCCTTGGTTCCCCCCACTGTCACCCTTGGCCACCTGAGCCTGTTCTTTCCTCCTGAGGCCCTGTGCATCCTGCAGGCGATTAGCTGGCAGGGCTCCTGTCTGTCCCCTGACGGGGGCACGCACGCTGGGGCTTCGGGGTTCCCAGGGGCTGTGGGACCTGCCCAACTCCTGGCGCCCCCTCCCCAGGCCTTCAGCGCAGGGGGTGAAGGAAGAAGGCGGCTGGGGGCAGGGCTGGGCTGCCCAGGGACGAGCCCCCACTGCCGCTGCCCCGCCCCCTGCCGCCTCCCCGCAGGCTTGCGGAGCCTGGGGTGGTGGGAGGTCTCGGGGCCTCCCCATTGGGACGGTGTCAGGGTGGGGTCATAGCTGGGCCTGCGAGACCCCATGTCATAGGGGGGAAAACAGGTCCAAGGGCGAGGTGCTTTGCCTGACTCAAGGCCACTGTGGGAGGCGGGGGAGGTACTGCCTCTTGGCTGCACTGGCCAGAGCTGGGCCCTGGGAGAGGACCTTGGCTATGGGGGAGGGCCCTGTGCTGGGGGAGAGGGCCCTGTGCTGGGGGGGG